AAGGGATGAAACGGCAGGCTATGGGCAAACTATGGGTCCTTTCAACAGGCAATTAACACAGCAATGTAATATTACCTAGGAATTCAGTGCTACGAGTAAATTCTCTAAAGTATGGCACTGGGATACAGGGACAATTAATTTGATTAACGTATTCTTCTAAACACACGAACTGTTTGTTCGAGTATAAGAACAATTAATACAATACACCAAAGGGGGCGAGGACAATAGAACCGTGCACGTTTTCTCAAGGGGGTTGAACAACTTAAGTACCAATAATAGAGATAGGTGCCTGAGAAACTGGATCAATTGATGAATTATTCCATAAATATAATTTTTTATAAAATATAATAAAGGTTTGTCAATCCATATATCTTTGAGAGATAGTATATATATATATAAAATTCCAATCAAATTCTATTGTTCTATTATTTATTACAATAATATACGTAATAATGATTTATAAATGTAATATTCATACAATAATTTTGAAAGATTTTTGAATTATAATTTCGTAAATTCAATATTATAATATTAAATATTTCGATTAATTTAGAAAATTGTAATTCTTTTTATGTATAAATGAAAATAATTGTGTCTATATAAAATATATAAAAAAATTTTCAATCAATTTTCAATAATTGTTTCATATATATTTTTATACATATTTAATTATCTAGTTTCTCAGATAGCTAAGACTTTTGATACTTATCATGAAGTTACATCATGAAAACGGGGTAATAATCTAAACATTAATGTAACGCAAGCCTGTGAGATTACTTTTGTAGTAAAAGGGTTCAGAAAGGAATGTCTCAGAGAAAAAGAAAAGAGTCGACGTGAAAAAGATCTCACGATCGTATTTTTTTTTTTCAACATTTCCCTGCTTGTTGTTGTGCTTTTCGTTCTGAAATTCACGATAATGATTGGATTACTCTTCCGTCATTACGAACAATAGTGTTTCGGATTATATTTCTTTCAAGAAAAAATTACGAAAAACTACGATCGAAAAACTATTATTACCTTCCATTCTTATTTCCTTATTTCCTTCATTCCGGTTGGACATCGATACTTCAATAGAAATACTCGCATCTGATTCTTTAAATATTCACGAAAAATTAATTAATGCAATCGATTCCGGGAGATTGTTCATTTATATTCAGAAAGGCTTTCACTTATATCATGAGACGCTTTTAATTTGAATTTTTATTGTTCAACAAAATATCGATATCTTAAAGTGGTTAATTGTTACGAAATTGAATTATAGTAAAATTTCTAATATTTTCAATAATTATTGAATAATATTTAATCTTCTCTATATCGAAAATTTAGAATTCAAAACAATATATATATATATAACAAAAAATAAACAAACAACTTACTTTTCATTATCTCTCATATGAATAATCATATATATAACCTAATCAATATTAATATTCATACAACGAGTTGGTAAAACGAGAAAACATTCGAAAAATTTTTCCCATCCCCTCAAAATCAAAACGCGCGAAACAGGAAGCTGTCGACTCCTCCTCCTCATCCCGTTTCCCACAGGAGCGATGCGTCGGGGGAGAGCACGATCCTCATCGCGAATGGATTAAACGAGACGAAAATTGTTTCGAATGTTTTGCGGGGATGTGCACGTGGCTGTTCCATCGAGGAAAAACGAAAATAATTTCCAAAAATGCGTCACATTCGCACCGTGGTGGAAGTTGTAGAGGATGTCAAACACGTTGCAACTTCCAAAGCGATCCGCCACCACCATGGCTCTTGTTGAAAGTTGCACACGGTCTCGACGCGATTTTAACGACACGGTTGCCAACTTTCTTTCTTCGAGGAACGTTTACGCGACCGTTTTACTCGTGTCGTGGTACCGGTTGTTGGAATACTCGAACGGGTGCTATGTTGAATTGAATTCGCGATAAGAATTTGAAATTGAAGTTGGGATGAAAGATTTAGACAAGATTTTGGATAGATAATTGATTATTATTCGATCTTATATCAATATATCAATATTATTTTTAATGTAATAGGTTTTTAATGGTATGATGATCGATGATGCGACACTAGCGCCACGTGATCATTAACTATTATTACTTAATGTAATTAATACTTATGGATACTTTTGTAATTATTTATTACTTATATTTTTTTCAAATATTCGAATAATTATGTTTCTATAAACGATAAAAATATATTTTATTGATTATTGATTTGAAAATTTGTAAAATTTAGAACTATTGCTAGTCGTTATGATGTTAATAAAATTATTGTGTAATTTTTAAATATGAATTGTTCAAAAATAAACGATGAGAATGCATACAAATAATTTTTCAATCAATATTTAACAAAATTAAAACTAATTAAATTTTTATATCGTAAAAGAAATTCAACCAAATAAAACAATTTTTAAAAATAATTTAATAACTTAATGAAGCTATTTCTTTTTCCTTTTTTTAAAAAATTGGTGATGGTATAATAATAATCAAATATTAATAATAATTTAAACATAAGTATTGTTCAATATTTCACGATGAAGATCTCTCTCAAGAATGACTGATCAAAAAAGAAAAAGTCAGAAATAGACTAAGAAAAATAGTTCTGGTATACTTTGAATTTTATTGACATTTTCAGGTCGCGAGCCACATATGTATTCGTCAGTCTACTTTCTTTCTGAGATTTCCAACTATTTCCAAAGAATTTAGCCGGAATATTACAAGGTGTTCTCACTGGAATACAGTTGCTTGTATTGCAATTCACGTACTCAATAATGGAGGCCAATTAAAACGAGGTTGGCCGTTGTTAATTAAAGCAAGAATTGCTTGCAGTATTGCTGCTTATTGCAGTATTAACCGTGACAATTATTGACATATGAGACTTCGATATTCGCTTGAATTGTTAAAGTAATTTCGAATTGTAAAAATAATAACGAGTTTATAATAACAGAAAGCGCAAAAGTGAAATTAAAATCGGAAATTTTACACGTAAAGATATCGTTGATTACAAACTTTTACATTCTTTGAATACTAATATAAATTTAATATCACGATATATCACTTTTATAAAGTAGAATTTTAAACAAAAAGGCAACATTAATGATAATGATAATTAAAGTTTAATTACAAAAAATATTTACTTCTTTTATCATCCACAAATGAAAAATAATTTTAAACAATTAAAAACATTTATAAAGAATATTATCATGATACTGTTAAAAATTTAAACTATCCTTTTCCTGATATATGAAACAAACAAATATCGTCGTTAAATCATATCAACTCGACGAAATATTCATGTTTAAATATAACGAGAAGAAAAATTACCGATCATAACGGTACATCTATCGTTTTTCTCTACGATGCAAATGATTTGAAACTAGAACCAACAAACTCGCTCTAGATTCTCCTCCTACGCGACACGCTTTCCACATTTTTCCTTTCCACTTGCTTATTTTCATTCCAAATCATCGGTTCACAGCCGAGTAAAAGGACGGGTAACGCGATTTTCGATCCCGTTGCAGCTGGAAAACTACAGAAAGTTCGACGGCCCGGAAGATATGGATAGTAGGAGAGGTTTCGCTTCGCTACTTTCGCGGGAATTGAATTTCTTTCTGGTCAACTTTGAAGGAAAAGTTAAAATTATATAATTAAAAAAATATAATTAAAAATTGTCGAGGTATATATTTATCGATAAATTCGATTCAAGATCGGTTTAAAAATTTATGCCAAAATTCTTGCTCGTTGATAAGATAATTCGAAAAAATTGCAGCGCAAAAAGAAGATATAAATTTGATGCAACTGTTGCTGGTGATATTTATGCAATTCAGTTGTTTGAAAATCTCAGCTTTTTCAAGCTTCGTGTATTTAAATGTTGCATAAAGTAGAAACGAAGTTTGAAAATATTTATATCGTCTGGTTCTAAAGATTAACGAAATATTTGAACTCTTATTTAAACTTTAATTTCATTCTTACTCATCCTGTCGAAAGAAATAAGTATTTAATCAAGATATAAATTCTCTTTCCCGATGTCTATTTTTTTTTTTATACTTCCCTTTCTTTTCCATAATTTATTTTCGCTCTTTTTTCAATGAATAAGAATTCCTCTATTAAAAATTGTTAAAAATAAAATAAAACACGAGAATCGTCTTACATTTTATATCAACCTCGATCGATTCATTTCAAACTCCCGTCTAAAATCAATATTTAAAAACTCATCTCACCTCCTCTCTTCTTTCCCCAACTTCTTCCAAATTAACTTTTTCAAACATCCTCTTAATAGAAAAGCAAATCCTTAAACTTCTCGCCGATTCTATAATATTCCTTGGAATATATCTCTTCATCAAATAACAAATCGCGACAGGCGTTATTATCCCGCCAGAACGAAAAGCCATGGAACAAGCAAGGATGGCCGAGTATTGCCGAGTTACGTTCGAGTTTCAGCTTCGAAAAGCTCTTAAAACCGTTTCTCACCGTGTAATCGCGGCAACCCCTCCCCCCAGCCCAACAATCCCCTTCGACATCCCCGGTTGGAGAATCGTTTCGACCGCTTCTTCGTCGTCGTTAACCACTCTCGACACACCTCCCCTCCCCTCCCTTCTTCGAAAAGGCCGTTCTCCTCCTCCCTTCAGAAACGGGGCCACCAACGAAAAT